AAATCTTGTCGGCCTCAGTCATGTTGGGATTGGCCCTTTGACACAACGCTAAGACGTCTTGAATATAAGTCAAGTAGGGATCAGTGGACGTCTGTGTACGTACAGCCAATTGCTTTCGGGCATCAAGCTGATGACCAAGCGGGTTGCCAAAAAGGTCGCGGAGCTGTTGTTTAAACATTTCCCAGCTTGTGATTTCGTGCTCGTGGGTCTCAAACCAGATGCGAGGGGTCTTGTCAAGATAGAAAGTGACATTCGCAAGCATAACGGTTGGGTCCCAGCCATATTGCTTGCTGACGCGCTCGTACATGCTAAGCCACTTCTCCACATTCGCGTTGTCCTCTCCAGTAAAGGTACCGGGATCATGGGGTTGCGTTAGGGTGACGTACCGGGTTGCGGTCGTTGCTGAGGTGAGGATACGGCGAAGCCGTATCCTCACCCGGAGCCATGGTAGCAGACTTAAGGAGGCGTCCACTGCGTAGCTCCATTGTCAGAAGAGTACCCAGCACCTCCACCAAATTGTTACGTGGAAAATAACAGTTGTCAGTCCGCAGCCACAACGCAGCTCACCGACAACGTCCACTTCTTCACTCTCAGTCTGAGGCACCTTACTTGGGTATGCCCCACTATGCCCTCTTTCAGACGAAATCACGTAACAATATTGCTGCATGATAGTTAACGAAACATGGATTTTAGGAGAATAAATCTTTCAGATTATCACTGTACCGGGCAGTCCGACCATGAATTACCATCGCCATGAACGAGTACGATCTTGCTTTGTCATTTTCAACCTGTGCTTCGATCCTGCAACACATGAGCCAATTAGTCTGGCATGGAAAGTGATAACAATGAATGACAAGTCTGTTACGTTAATGAAACTAATTTAACAACACGAAAGAAATGCCCATGGTACGGAAATCACGTAAAAACCAATGCGTCAAGAAATTTCCGAACGTAACGCGAGTACTCACGTGACTAAATTGAAGAAACATCTAGGGATATGACTAAATATCCCATAACCGCCACTCGCTTACACTCGTAACATTGACAAAGTCTACTCACGTGAACCAAACCATGTTAAATCCGCGAAAATTGGGCATTACGTGAAATCTAGTAATTTGAGTGATAATATGGAACATCGTAGAACAGGTGGTCACGTGACATGCTTTCAGCATAAACGAAGTAACAACGTGTGACGTGACTAAAATTAAGTAACATCACGTATTATTTAGACACGGGACATATTCTCGCCATAACTACATTGCAGCTGGTCAGGTGACTCAGATTAGGCAACATTACCCTACTAGTGACGAGACCTGTTCGCGCAATGAAACAGGCACCAAACTTGGGACAAACTTACGTATCACGCAACAACTATTATCATAACGTCTTCCCAACAGAACAACGTGACATTCTTGGGGCTTATTTCTGCCAAAGATGACATACCAGATGCTCTATGGCTAAAACCATGGGATACCACGTAATACTAGTCACTTTCCGAAAATTACATGAAACTATTCACGAGATATGCTGCTACCAAAACCACGTGACATGAGCCTAATACAAGAAACCGACAAAAATCAGGTAATATTCAAGTCTAATTGAACTTAATGCTACTAGCGAAAACGTAGAATCTCTAGCTCCACTCCTACAAAAACGTGGCTACGTGAAACGCTAGCGTCGCTGTTGGTTCCAGCCTATTGCTACTAGTGTAAGTAACGCATTTTTTTGTTTTCACCAATGATACTGATTATACGAAGCTGTTTGCGGCATCTGTTATAAAAAGCGTAATCCATCAGTATACAAATTTATTAGCACATTTTCAAGAATGTAATAAATTGCTATTTATGATTATTCAAACACTTTATACAAGTACAAGGACTTTTTCCTTCAGAGTAAGATGTGCTGCTAAATCTATGCAACCGATTACCTATGCAAAAGAATGGAAATGTAATTACAGACGCAACCTCTGCACGAATTCCCGAGCAGATTTTTTTACTCATTTAGTGCAAACGGATTTAGCCAGATACTAATCAAAGCCGCTGCTTTGTACTAGTATAAAGCTGCAATCACATTACAAGGTGTGCTGTGTTTATTATGCATAATTTTGACTCATCCCTAAAAATGCTTATGGACCAGAAAAGGCGGGATACGTACGTACCACTACCACGAGTATCATTATTTATGGCGTTGCGGTTGCCTAGCATGTGGGCTAGGTAACCTCAACGCAAGATCGCCAGAACGAACTTTAGAACTGCCAATTTTTCAGCTTTCGCTGTTACATTTGCTGCGCATTGCGCGCAGGCTTGCTGTTTTTGTTTACTTGTGGTTGCATCAACACGAACTTTTGTTGGAACCGGCTTTACTTAACATTATATTCACGGATAGATTGCCAGTAGTCGGAATGCCAGCGTAAGCAGTAGAAATTGTAATGAAATGTATTTTTTGAAGTCAGGAGTGCCAATGATTGATTAATAGATATGTGGAGTTTAACGTCCTGAAGCCACCATATGATTATGAGAGATGCCATAGTGGAGATCTACGGAATTTCGACCACCTGGGGTTGTTTGACGTGCGCCCAAATCTGAGCACACGGGCCTACAGCAGTTCCGCCTCCACCGGAAATGCAGCCACCGTAGCCGGGTTCGATCCCGCGACCTGCAGGTCAGCAGCCGAGTACCTTAGCCACTAGGCCACCGCGCCGGGGCGTAAAGAGTGCCAACTACCTCGCTTCGATTCAAACCACATCAGAGCTGACAGCCTCATCAGAGGAATTCCGAAGTATTTTCTGCAAATAAACCATTGGGTGTTATGGTCTTCGCAAGGACGTTGGCCTCAGCAACCTATTTATTTGTTTTAAACGTGCACGATTGATCAGTATGATGTCCAGAGAGAAACATCTCTTGAACGAAGTGACCTAGATTTTATAAGCTAAAAGATTCAAATGATGCTGTTATGCCGGATAAACAGGGAAACGTTGTGGTGCGTTCTTTTATTAAATTGTAGTTTACGTTCACTAAACAAGGTAGAAAAAACGCCCTAAAACATGCAAGATTGACAGTAATTATTGAACCATGAACTACTCTACTAATTCAGTTCGAATATTCATTCAATGAATTCTGCGAAACAAAGGCGAATAGACTAATATGAAAGTACCGGTAAGGATGCTCAGTGTGTGGTATCATTCGGTTTTTGCTTGACAGTTCAGTGCCCATAGGTGGACTGTCTGAATGCCGCAATTATTAGAACACTCTGCCGCTCTACTAGTCCTACACCTCCATTCTCAGACCTTACGCTGTGTCTGGAGTCCAAGGACTGCCTTAGAAATGTGATTGAATGGTGGTCCAGTGACACGCAAACAAAGAAGAAAAGAAGTACTAGTACTGACTTGGTTCAGAGCTCCATTTGCTTTTCGGTGTCCGCATAAAGCAGAAAGGATGACAACTATTTCTAAGAGAGAGGGCCTCAAAAAAGATGCAGGAAATGTGTAGGTATTCATGTGTCCATTCAATTCAGAAGAAACCCACGAGGGTAGGCATTAGGACATGGACCCAAAGAAAAGCTGTCAGATAGATTGGTAGTGAAGCCAATGACCCTCTTAGCTTGAATTAGTGGCTACAGGTTCAGTATATGATCATGCACTGGTGTTACTTGAAACTAGATATAACAGGAATACCTGAACAAGCTGCATAGCTACCTGTTTCACAGTCTCTGTGATGTCAGTCCTTTGCTAAGTTAAAGCTTTGAACGGTCGTGCTGGCTTGCTGAAGCTGTATCACTGGTTGTGCTTGTGGCTCTGCGAAGCATTTGTCCGTGAAAGAAGTGGTGAAACTTAGTAGTGGCTGTGCACTTCACACGAGGACAATGATTTTTCAAATCCTAATTGTACAACGAAAAGATAAAATACTTGTTCGCTGCCTATAGTTCGCTTCGTAATTTCATCAAAGTAACTGTAGTAATGCACCTCTTTGAAACATTTTCGCCCTGAACTACTACACATACTGCAGTAGTGTTACTTGTCCGACTAGGTCCTAACACTCGCTCAGAAGATACAAATGTTAGCAAACTTAGAGCTAGCCCTTTAACATGAAAGTTGAGGTGCGAGAGCGTTGTTGAAATTTAAAGTTATGGGGGTTGCGGGTCGTTCCGACCTGACAGAAATCCTGAGGACGTTAAAGTTGACATAATGTTAAGTTAACCACATTTCTTTCAAATGTAGTAGCTGATAATCATAAGAATTCTCATTCTTTGATAAAGTAAGCTGAGAAAATCTTTCTGTGGGACTGTTTCGGTTAGACGTCCAATCACTCTTTACCGTGGACTGTGTTCTCTCAGTTTTGTACAGAGCGTCTGAGCTTGCGCTTGAGGACGAAGTGCGCGAGAAAATGAAATCGAGTGATTGTGATAAAACAGTTGTAGGTTTTTGTTCAGAACAGAATGCGCCGATTACAGGCCCCCCCCCCCCCCCCCAAAAAAAAAACACCCTGCGTCGAGCAAAATTTACATACAGTAATTCTATTTATTATTCTATTTATTTCAACATTCGTACTGCAGCCTTGAAAGGCAATATCCGCAGTGTAGGAAGAATAAAAAAATTATGCAATATAATGTACAGAGCATGACGATCACTGGTAATTATTGTGCTCAATGAACTTATCGCGCTCTAAAGGTATAACCGCGGGTCGGGTGAAACATTCCACATTTGAATAAAAAGGACAAAATAGCTGCATTTATTTATGTAATGCTTTGTGTGCACAGCGTCATTTATTTTTGTGTTAAACTACCTTGATTCGATTCTTAAGACTGGTGCTTTCGATTCTGCCGTTATTTCCTTCAGGAAGTTGGGGCTAATTCAGTTTTGTTAGGCTGGATTCTCGCACACAAACATACAATATTTTTCGAAAGGTCATTGCTGCTGTAATTGTGAGCCGAAATAATATAAGTGTTTATGGAGCCTGCCGCACCTTTTGTTTTATTATAGATTCATTACTTTTGATTGGCAGGTGTTTGGCCAGTTCTCGGATGCCGCGGGAGTGAGAGACGTAAGCCGTGATCCCATGTTCAAGTGCCTAAGGGCTAACCGCACAGAATACGACTTGGAAGCCCGATCCGCCAACTACGTTTGGTCGCTGAATGCAGGCAAAGGAAATCCAAGGTGAGTTCTCGGGTTTGAATAAATCTGGGAGTACACCTGTACTTTAGTTGAAAAAGATGGGTCGTGCGCAGTAGAAGCCTATATGACATTGCTCTTAGACTTTGGCATACCATTCACTGTTTGCACCCTTGCTGATTTTGTCACGTGAACACGACAAAGTTAGAAGTTATCAGGCTGTCAAAGGTGAAACTGTTTGTTTGGCGAACTTATGCCCGAGAAAAAAAACTGCCACGCCTGTGCGGTAGGCGCTGCACTGTCACAAAGAATGATAGAAGAGGGCATTTCAGAGCCTTTTCTAAGCTGATGCTGATGATCTCAGATGGATGGCGCTCACAAAATGAGGGGTATGGGCCAAGAACCGGGTGGCAGGATACTTAAATGAAACTGATGGATTGATTTGATATGTGGGGTTTAACGTCCCAAAACCACCATATGATTATGAGAGATGCTGTAGTGGAAGGCTCCGGAAATTTGACCACCTGGCGTTCTTTACGTGCACCCAAATCTGGGAACACGAGCCCACAACATTTCCGCCTCCATCGGAAATGCAGCCGCCGCAGCCGGGATTCGATCCCGCGACCTGCGGGTCAGCAATCGAGTACCTTAGCCACTATGACCACCGCGGCGGGGCTGCTTAAATGAAACTAAAATGAAATTAAAGCCAATCTGAAAAATTAGTTTAGAGGTAATACTGCCAATAAACAAAGATGTTTGGCAAGCGGTCAAACGTTCTCTTGTTCCTGACAGACATTGCTAAGAATTCTAAATGAAAGATCCGAAAAGGTGAGGGTTCACTAGCATGGTCATATTTTAGTTGCAGCCCCGCCGCGGTGGTCTAGTGGCTAAGGTACTCGGCTGCTGACCCGCAGGTCGCGGTTCGATTACCAGCTGCGGCGGCTGCATTTCCGATGGAGGCGGAAATGTCGTAGGCCCGTGTGCTCAGATTTGGGTGCACGTTAAAGAACCCCAGGTGGTCAAAATTTCCGGAGCCCTCCACTACGGCGTCTCTCATAATCAAATGGTGGTTTTGGGACGTTAAACCTCACAAATCAATCAATCAATCATATTTTAGTTGCATTGATGTAGTCAAACACAGTGGAGCTTATATCCCTGTGGGAGTAACCAAATGAAGTGCCGCCAAGCGGTAAAAGTACTGGTACATTTACTTGTATTCCTAGCTTTTGTAATGGGGCTACTAAAAATCGTTTTCTCTGATAAGAGCAACGACGACAGAATAAAAAGCAGTGTTCAATTGTTTCAATTTCGTTGCAAAAAATGCACAGCGGTGACGCTTTGAGTCGAGCTTTATTATGGTAATAATTTATTTGTTGAACTGCACAGCGCAATCTGGTATAAGTGACCTCTAACTGACGAGATACACACCACTGTTTAATCCAGCAATACCTGAAGTGCTCGAAATCGTTAAATTTTTCAAAATTACCTATTCCCCATTGCAAACAAGCATTTCGGAACCTTAGTGCTGTTACGTAAGCCGTATCTGGCAAAATTGGGATGGTGGGCCCACTCAGGGATACTGCTGCTAAAGAGTCCGCCATTTCGTTCAAATATAATCCACGGTGGCCTGGTACCCATAGCAAATGCAATTTTTTTTACGTTGTTCGGTACTAAATGCCGAAACGTATTCATCAGCGCTGCATTTTCTGCCGGAGAAAGTCCATTACACACTGATAATAAATCTGGAATGATAACTGCTAGTGATTCGCTTGAGGGCAATTTGCGTAGAGCAAGAACAATAGCCAATAATTCTGCAGTGAATACATGGGTATAATCTGGGAGTCGAATTGAAAAGGACCAGTGCAAAAAAGGAGAGAAGATACCAACCCCAGCCTTTTCTTTTGACACAGATGCATCAGTCGCAATGATATTGCTTATCTCTAGGTGAGCTAGATAATATGCTAACTGGTCATCTAAGTACCTATGTGCTCATTGTTTCGTGTTATGAGGAAATATATCATCACACTGTTCTAAGCATTGACTTTAGGTTGTATATTGGACCAATATGTTTAATTTTTACATTCAGTTGCTGTAGCAGCGCTTGTGCAAATATTATTTGCAGGGTGTGTATTCACGACCAATGCATTTCGAAAAATAAAGCTGGTTCTTGAATAAAAACGTAAAATGATAGTCTTGGGTGCGAACTGTATATCTTGCACAGAATTCTCGCACAGTAAGAATTTTAAACCTATTTAGCAAAGAAGGTGGGTGAGCTTCATTATGCAACACGTTATTTGCAACAAACTTTGGGAGACCCAGACACAAACGCAACGCTTCTCTTTCCAGCAGTACCAGAGGTCTCATTTTTAAAGCTGCACTGCCAGAAAATAATACACATCCGAATTCCATGATGGGCCACACATTAAGTTTGTATATCATTATTAGCACATCTCTTAAACCCGCTTTACGGTTTGCGAGCTTCGGTAGCCGCCCCGTGGCGTGTGTTGCCTTGGAGTACACATCATCAATGTGGCTTCTCAAATTTAATGTGTCATTATATAGGATGCCCAAATATTAGAAGGCATTCACCTGCGGACTGTGCTCATTACTATATATTAACGAGATGTTGATAGGCTGCAGAAAAGAGACTGCAAAAGCACACTTTTCTTTACGTTCAGGGTCATATGAATGTTTTTCAGCCATTTTTTATGGTATTGAGATAATTTTGTAGACTCTGGTAGAGGGATTGAAGGTCGGTATTACTTGCAAAGAAAGCAATACCGTCTGCATACACATATAACTAAATATTCTTGGTTGATGAAATGGAGCTTAGCAAGATGTTGAATAAAACTGGCGACAGGACAGCCCCCTGTGGTACGCCACGTGTCTGCTTATATCTATTCGATTATACCCATATTTAAAGCAGTAATATTCTCTCCCTCCTAAAAAGTCCGACACCATCGCAGTGATGTAGTTGGGAAAGTAATGATATCCATCTGTTTTAATAAAATTGAATGCTCCATCCTATCGTACGCTTTAGCCAAATCTAGAGTAACTATTGCACAGTACTGGTGCCGACGCTGAGCCAGTTGTATTCGGCTCTCTAAATGAACATGCGCACACCATATTGAGCAACCATATATAAAACTAATTTGACTGGAGTTTATGGTTGCGTTGTTATCAATGTAATTCATTACCCGGGCATTCAAAACTCTTTCGTTTCGATTAGGTTAACCAGATTGTACGTGAGTGATATCGGCCTTACATTGTCTAAGGGAAATCTTTTTCCTGCTTTTAAGAAGTGAAATTACTTTAGACAGCTTCCATTCCGCAGGTATCCAAGCTTTTGTCAAAGCAAAATTCACCAGGTTATGTACTTCAGTTAAATAAATGTCGAATATTACTTTTATCGTTGCATTAGTTACCCCGTCTGTTCCAGGTGCTGAAGGAGATAAGTGCCTCATTATCTCTGCCAGCGCATCTAAAGTAACCTCTTTGAAATCCTCGCCCACCACTGGGTTCACAATATACAGTGGTATGATTGACATAAATCTATCTTGGAGCTCTTTCGCAATATTTTCTACTAAATCAGAGAGTTCACGGGGGGAAAGAACGGACGAGTCAATATTTTCAGCGGGTGGTAATATCTTATGCGATCTTAAAAATCTGAAGCGCGCATTTTTTGTTTTGAGTCCTAAAAAGATAATCATATCGTTTCATATTATAGCGATCTCCTGTTGTACTTACTGTGCATTTGAGGTCTACTGCTGCGAATTTATAATCACACCAATTTTTGAACATTGTTTGAGCACCAGTTGTTTCCATGCAACTCTCCGTTTTCCACAGCTCCTCGTGCACTCTTCAGTCCACCATGGACTAAAAAACCTCTTGTGGCCAAGTTTAATTTAAAAGCTGTGTCTTTTACTGATATTTTTAACACTGCACACAAACTCATAGCCCTAATGTCACCTTGCGTGTCCTTGTGGCGATGAAGAGTATCCCTCAAGTCTTTTTCTAATTTTCTATAGTTCTGGAATGAGCAGGCCTTTTAGGTGACAAGTATTCTCGCAAAGTTGAGTACAAAACTAATAGGGAAGTGGTCACTGTTAGTAGCACAATCTAGCTTGCCATGAACATATATTTAGAGATGAGCTTGAAAATGTCTAGTCAATTACAGATTGAGAGAGGCCTCGTACATAAGTAGCAGACTGCGAATTTAAACAAGCTAAATTCTTCTCAATAGCCTATTTCCACAAGCGTTTTTCGCATAAATCTGTTTTGAAACCCCACGCCACATGACGTGAATTGAAGTCTCCAGTGATTAATATATCATTTCTGCAGGCAGAGAACATATCGTCTAGACTTCGTGTCTCTTGCACCCCGGTTGGGAAATATGCATTTACAAACGAGAAGGGAAAACTTTCAGGTAATATTATGTACACTATCAAAATTTCCCAATCTGGAGTCATACATCGATAAGAGATCATAGCTTTGTGACTAAACTTAGTTGCTATCAACACAGCGAGCCCACCACCTCTGCTAGGTCGGTCCAATCGAAATAGGCGATACTTGTTTAGGGAAAACTTTTGGCCGGTTGAAAGCCAGGATTCTTGCAGTGATATAATATTGGGGGAAAGTTGTGAAGAAAGGTATGATAGGTCTTTGGCTGGAGAAAATATAGATCTGCAATTTCACTGTAATATGGTTAGTGAACATATTTTGATGACAGAACCGTAGCAGAAACTGCTTGGTCCAAAATGTCCTTTCGCAAAAAGTCTGTCTTAGACATGTTCTCAAATTATTCTTTTTTGGACAGGTACTTTTTAGACTTTGAATTATGCGAAGAACTTTTTGATTGGGGAGATCAGGTTCGCTTCAGAGCCTTATGAGAGTCCGTATCCATATCTGCAGCTGCTTCCGAATCATCCGTTAGATCACCATCCTCCGTTGTTTTGGAAGTCCCTGCCTCAGGAGAAACCTATCGCTGACATTTTGTCGCACTGTCTATCTCCGTACGCTTCGATACCACTGATGCCTGAGGATCC